CTGTCTTTCCAGAAGCAGGCTAAAGCTTTTCTATTCAGACAGGCTTTTAAAGATGAAGGTGTTTAAGATCTAGTCAGGGGTGCTGTGGTTTTTAACTTTAAGTATGTTTTGATGGATTTTAACTCAATTTTAGTGTTGTTTGTGTTTAATTTTGTTTCAATGTTTGTATATTTGTATATTTTAAATTGCATAGTAATGCTTTCATGTCAAGCTGCTTGGAGTTCCCTTTGTGAATATAAAGCGGGGTATAGATATAAGAAGAAGAAGAGGAAGAGGAAGAGGAGGAAGAGGAAGAGGAAGAGGAAGAGGAAGAAGAAGAAGAAGGCTAAACAAACAGCAGTTCTTACACCTCATACAAACAGTAGTTTGTACACCACACAGGAGGCTGTCCCTATAGGAACTATGTGTGCGGTGGTCATGGACAACACAAATCCAGCCAGGACAACTCACACAAACATCAACAGGATTCTGTTGATGAAGCCTCTTCCAAAGGGCACCGTGTATGTTAAAAGGTATGCCAGGTTGTTGACAAGCTGATGAGATCAATTAGACTCAGGAATTCAAAACAATCTGTTGCCAGTCAATTTGTATGGATTGACAAAGTGTTGCCAGCCAAGTCAGAACCAGCAGTTCTGGCTGCCCAGGCACCTAATTTGCTTTTCAAGAGACCTGATATGCTGGGCTAATGGATTTTGCAAGTTGAGTTTTAGACCAGTGGAGAGAATATTGTTAGTCACCTTTGCATATAAAGTCTTGACAGATATAGGTCAAGAGGCTTTGAGGCCTTTCCCCCTGAAGGGCCTTGCTACTTTAAGTGTGCTTAAGGTGAGGACAGGGTTCATATGCATGCAGAACAAAACTTTGGGCTTCTACATGTACCACCAATCATATAGAAGCACAACCAGCTTTAGCAATTTTTATCACCTGTTTGGATCAAGGCATTATGCAAAGGTGACTAACAATATTCTCTGGTCTAAAACTCACCTTGCAGATGGGCAGCAAATGTACAAAATCCAAGAGCATCATTCCTTTAGCAGTAGGTGATTATTTCTGTCAGAAACTGATGGAACTAATGCTTGGTTTGGCACACAGCTCTCTGTGTATGGGTGTATTTGCTCAAAGTGACAACCATTGGATATAGTTACTTATAATAAAAAATTAAAAGAACCAAGTCTACAAATGATATGATATCCATCAGGGATGGGCTTGAAGCCTTATTTCAGACTAAATAATTACAAAATCTTTAAAATATAAAAAGAAATCATATATGATTTATGATTTAAGGAATCATAAAAATACTTCAGAAGGTTGGTATGGGATTCTCATACCTTTTGTAAGTAATCTGAATTTATTATGCCAGACAAACACACAATTAACAGATGTATTTGTTTTTTTTCTAATATTTATATTGATATATCTCTTTCTTATGCATTTTCATCTGTTGTTGCTCAAAATAGAAATAACTGGCAACTATAATTTATGGGTGCCTTTTCAACAGCTCTCTCAGATATTTTAATAACTGTCTTCTGTAACAGATGGAATAAGCTTACAAACCAGATATAAAAATATTGAGTTGTTTGGTCCTTCTGGCAACTGAAAATTTTATCTAGGTGGATCATATAAATGCTATTATTCCAAATTCTTAGTATTTTAACAATTTAAGCCAAGAGTAAAAAACATTAGACCCATGGGCTACATTTAAAAAACAACAACATATATCTAAAATTTTCAAAATACAGAAGTCAAAGAGAGATTAAATGGCCAAAAATATTACAATCAGATTAATGCATTAAAATGCATACATGGATATATATGCCACATATGCACAAAACACGAGCACAACAATTAGCATGATCCACCATATTGTTTAGATGAGACAGGCCTTATACAATAAATCCCCAAATGCCTGTTGAAACTTCTCAACAGAAGGGGGGGGGGCTTCAATAGTCTCAAGGCAACCAATGAAAGGACTCTACTATGTTCACATTAAATGTACCTGTAAGGATAGTAGGACAGAGACAAGGACCTTCCTAGCAGATCTTAAAGCTCAGGCAGGTCCACAAAACTCAGTCATTTAAATAAGCCACACAGAAGTTTATAGATCAAAACCAGCACATTGAATTGTGCCCAGAAACACACTGGAAGCCAAGGGAGATGCTACAACATGGGAGCGGTGTGTTCTTTGTAGCCATTCCTAGTTAGCAATCTGGGCGAAGTCCTTTAGAACAGCTGAAGTTTCCAAACATCTTCAGAGAGCCCCACACAGAATGTGTTACACTAAGCCAACTGGCATGTATCAGCATGGATAGATTAAAATCTCAAGGAATGTGTGCAGCTGGGACATAAGCTTTAATTGTTCAATTGCACCCTGAGCCACTACTGAAATCTGAATGTCAAGGCTCAGGCCCAAATCCGGGAGTACACCCAAGCAGAGAACCTGCATCCTCAGTGAGTGTAATCCCAGTGAGTGTAATCATATCTTCAGTGAGTGCAATCCCATAGGTTGAATCCCGATTCCCTGATCTGCCTTTGGACTAACCAGGAACACCTGTGTCTTTTCTGTATTTATTTTTATTTTGTTCACCATCATCCAGTCAACTAGTTCAGGACCAAAACAGCTTCCTTGACTTGTTAGGGAAAAGTGTATGTTGTCATTCACATACTGATGCCACTTGAACTCTAAGCAAACTCTGCCAGCAGTTTTAAGTATATGTTAGTAAAGGTAAAGGTAGTCCCCTGACATTAAGTCCAGTCATGTCTGACTCTGGGGTGTGGTGCTCATCTCCATTTCTAAGCCAAAGAGCCAGCATTGTCCGTAGACACCTCCAAGGTCATGTGGCCGGCATGACTGCATGGAGCGCCGTTACCTTCCTGCCGGAGCGGTACCTATTGATCTACTCACATTTGCATGTTTTCGAACTGCTAGGTTGGCAGAAGCTAGGGCTGACAGCGGAAGCTCATGCCGCTCCCCGGAATCGAACCTGCGACCTTTCGATCAACAGCTCGGCAGCTCAGTGCTTTAACCCACTGTGCCACCGGGGGCTACCTAAGTATACGTTAAGTAGCATTAAACTCAAATGGCAACCAGTAGTGTGAAAATACAGTTTAGGTGACTGAAGCTAGGAATTCTACAGGAGTGCCACTGGAATGAGAAAGGTCTCATTCATTAAACAGGTCACATTGCCCAAATCCATCTCAAACTTCAGAGCTTCTAGTAGTGCTGATTTAGGCAACCACATTAACAGCCAGATTGAATAGTTCAGAGAAATGCCCCAGTAAGATTTGAAGATGGTTGTATGGGTCTAGATTTTGCAAAGGGAATAAGTTAATTATCAGAAGACAAACCATGGTTAATGACTGTTTTGTTACTTTTTCCAATTCCTTTCCTGAGATTCTCCATACTTGGTACACACAACAAGGTCTCTTTTACAAATAACTTCTAGTAGGATAAAATAAATATTTGTTGGGATGTCTGAATTTAATTTAATGACAAGGGGGGTGTTTTTTTCCTTTTTCATCTACTTCTTCCCACACCCTACTTTGTTTCTTTAACCATCCAGCTATATATTCTGTACACAGTATTGTGGGCTTCTAACTGATCTTAATTTTTAGACGTTGGCCTTTTTCCCTCTAGTTTTGTTTGAAACTCCAAACATGTTTTAATTGCCTTGTGAATCATGAATTGCAGATGAATTTAAAGGAAAACAACAGCAATAATATGAAGGGACATTATCATCATTAGTATCCCTTATATAGGGGAGACACCATTGTGTCCTTGGTACAGAGGTGCAGGAATGGCAATGGACCACTAGGGGGGACTGGCAAACCATACCTCCGAAGGGAACGTTGCAGATTCCAGTCCTCTGACACCTATGTTTCACACCTTCCTGGCAAGGGGATGCAGGGGGCATCATGACCTGGGACTGATAGTAGGTTGTAGGCTACCTCACCTTAAGATGAGCTCACCTCTAGCCAATCACTCTGCCAATGATGTAATCCAACTCACTGTTACTATGCAAGCTTTGCAAAGAGCACAAGAAAAGATATATAAGCAGCTTGGCTGATCAATAAACTTTGAGATCACCCTCACCCTCCTGACTGCCCATCTTCTTTATCGTCTCCACAATAATACTTATAATACAAACTTCATTTGAATCATGAAAACAGCCTATTATTGTAGAACAGTTTCTATTGTGTAAATGAATAGATCAGTGTTTCTCAAACTCTGCTTCTCCAGGTGTTTTGGACTTTAGCTCCCAAAAATACCAGCTTACCAGCTGTTAAGAATTGTGGAAGCCAAACTCCAAAACATCTGGAGGAGCAGAGTTTGAGAAACTCTGGAATAGATAGATTAGCTGGTGTGCACATATCTTGGACATGCTAATTTTTTGCATTCGCAAAGGGGTAATAATGTTGATGATTGTTGTTAAACTCACTATTAAAATTGGTGTCTTTCCCCTTTGTTTTACTTTTTCTAACAAATAAACACTGCTTGTTGCGGGTTAAAAATAAGCAATGTCTCTGCAACAGAATGTGTCACTTTCAAGGTTGAAGAATAAATTTAAAAATCAATACATTTCCTGTGACAAAAAAAAAACATTTGATTGTAGTCCATCTCACAAGCCCTAGAATTTACTTTTACTCCAAGTTTACTGGACAGTTGGATAATTAGCCTGGAATTCACATTAAAATCTGCAATGAATGACAATGTTATTCAGTGTTAAAGTCAGAGACAGAAATTGCAGAAACCTATATTGAAAGAGTCATTTTCAAGCAAGTAATACAGTTAGTGCTATAGTCAGAAACAGAGATTATTTACACAAGGAGAATCTGGGAAATGCAAAGTAGTAAATTGTGTCAATTGGATGGTATGTTTTTAATCACAACATAAAAGTTAACTGACAGACACTGCTTTTTCACTTTTTGACAGCAATTATTTCAACATGATGTGATCAGTTCCACTTCCAGTGAAAATTAAAATTCTTCAAATAATCACTGACCTTTTCTAATACATTAGTGCAATACGAGTAGTGCACTTGGAAAGGGTCAAAACCAGACTGTACTTCTTTGCTTCTTAATGTCAGGTTTAAAGGTCTAATGCTTGCTGTGCCATCTTCAGAAGATCCCTCATTAAACAACTGTTCATTCAAATATTCCTTTAAAAAAAAAAAAGCTCAGGTGAATGTCAATTGCACTGAACAAGAATGATATTGTAAATCTCACGTAAATACTTGCTTATCTCTAAGCAAATGCAACAATAATGTACTTTGCATCACTGGATGTTAATGTGATAACTTCAATTGCTTGATATTTGGTACTGAGTGCTACTTCTTTTGAGTCAACAGAAAGAGGAAACATGCAGAAGTATTGTAACACATAAAAGCATAAGATAACAGGAATAGGAAACTCTGAGGAATTTTTCTCAGGATTGCTATTATATTCCACAACAACTCTCCTTCACCACTATTGTTACTGAAATCATAGAATGGAAACATATTCTTGATAATAGACACAGTACTTTTGTATTGTTAACATATATAAATCTGTTTGTACAATCTAATTTCAAACTAATTTCAACCCCCACATGCCACTTTTAACCTCTGTGATGAAAGTAACTCCATGTCCTCTACCACAAAAAACATAAAACGGAGCACAAGTGTGTAAAAAAAATTTCTTATTTGTACTACAGTTTCTAGTTTCCTGCAGCCAACATGAAGTGATAGTATTCAGACTAACTTATGCTAATTTACTGTGTTGAAAAGAACAGTCACTGACTAAGACCCTACCTCTTAGATCTTCTGTGAAGGACAACTTATTAAAATCCTGCTATTATAAAAGACATATAGACTTTTGCCTTGAATAAACTAATTCAGCTAACATACATCAGTTAAAAAAAGTAATCCCCTCAGGATCTTCTATGCTCCACCCCTCAGCTGGCTACAAATACTGAAAATTCTTCTGTATGTGTTACACCTAATCATACTCTAGTGAGGAAGGGGACACATCCCTGAGACCTAAAATCAGATAACATTTCATTGCATTTGTAAAAAAAAATCTGGAATCAAAACCAGCAATTTTTTTGTACAGAAAGACAAATTCTTCTGAAAAAAAACACAAGTTTGTAGATAAATTTGCTCTGATCCATTTTCACTCAGACCCCCCCCCCCCCGAAAAAAAATAAAAATAAAATCTCACTGTATCATCAGCTACTTTCCAATACAGTATTCCATTTCTTGGCAAGGGACTAGACTGTGTCATGGGATTCCAGCGTCAAACTTTCTGGATGAGATAGATCATCTAGGCCTCGTTTAATGTGACTGTTTCAGGACTGGTTATGGGACAGAAGCATATTTAGTCACTTTGAGGGACAACCTAGCCTGGGCTATGTGTAGAAGCAATGTGTCTATGTTGGTTCTGCTTGAACTCTTGATGGATTTTCATACCTTCAATGATCTTTCTATGCTAATTTACGAGAATGGGCCTAGAGACACTGATTTAAAATGGCCCTTTTCCACCTAAAGGGATGAGCCAAAATTAGTACTAGGGGAATTCTGTTCACACTTTTATTGTTGGCCTGTAATGTTCCTCAGGACTCACTTCTGTAACCTATGCTGTTTAATGCAGTATATACACAAAGTCTCTAGATCAGTGGTTCCCAACCTTTTTTTGACCAGGGACCACTCTCCAACATTAGTGCCAAAAAGGTTACGAATCAGGTTTTGGTCAACTTTAGATTCAGTTTGGTTATTTGGGACGATGATTCAGAAAACTGTATTGGATAGACCACATTAGCTCTAGTTTCTGATACAGAACATATGCCATCCAGTAGTTGCCATCTGCTTGCCCACAGAAAACCGTATTTAATAATCTAGAGCCACAGACCTTTTTTTAGGTCTTGCGGCCCACCAGTGGGCTGCGGTCCACAGGTTGGGAACCACTGCTCTAGGTGTTTTAGGTCCCAATGTCCTCAGTGTCTATTTGTCCTTTACACCTAATTGGATTCAGTCCTGAGCATGAATGCTTGAGTTTCAGTGGTATCCAGAAATGTGTACTCATTCTTTGAGATGCCTGATTTAGCTCTGGTGACAATTGCTTAGTGGTGTCTCACCTAAACTGCTGCAACACATTCTAAATGTTTAGATATTTTGGAAAGTGCTCAGAAACCTGACCAAAAGAGTTGTAACCAGACTGTTGATTGGGTCTGTTAGGGGAAGCACATAATTCCTGTATTACAACAGCTCATCTGGCTACAGGTCTTCAAAGGACAATTCAAAGTGCCTATCCAGAATGAGCTTAAGCTATCTGAAACATAACCTTTCATATGGTCTGCTCAGGCTTTAAATATAAAGCCCTCCAACTGGAGATAAAGACTTTTGATTTCAGATTCATTCTTCTTGTCCATATTATCTTGCTCCTGATTTGGGAGCACCCTTGGATTTTTGAAACCGTTTGGATGTTACTGGCTTCTTGATTACTTCTGACACTGGTAGACCTGCACTTTGTGTTGGAATTTGGACTGCCTGGACAGATCCTTCCACCAGTTCCTTTCATGGCTGATGTCCCGTGACTCCCTGTGCTGGACCATTGAGAGGTTCTGACTTATTCTGAAAAAAATTGTGAAATTGCTTGCCTCAGCTGGCTACAGGTCTACAGTTCTAAACAGTCTTCTGATGATGCTGATATATGCCTAGTAATCCCCAATCATCTATATAAATAAAAATGTAATGTTCGTTTGTGGGATTAACATAACTCAAAAACCACTGGATGAATTGACACAAAATTTGGACATAATACACCTATAAGGCCAACAAGTGACCATCACTCATAAAAACACTGAAAAACACAGGGGAAAGGACTTTAAAATCCATAAAAACAAAAAGACGCTACAGTACATGTGCAAAACGATTCCCCTGGCAAACAAAACACACAATAGCATATCCACACTCCCTTCCGGACTCCAGCTCCCAGCATCCCCTAGACCAGGTCCTTTAGGAGAGGAGGAGGATTCAAATGCACTGCTTCCAAGCGGCAAGCTTTATTCTTCTTGGATTTTTTTTGAGAGCATCCCAATCCCTGCATATTTCCGATTTCCTATTCCTGGACTGCAACTCCCAGCAATCCCCCAGATACATAGATTAGATAGAGATAGGTAGGTAAGTAGATCAGGGTGACTGCTGGGAGTTGCAGTCCAAAATAGGTAGAGAGGGAAGAAAGGGAAGAAAGAAGAAGGGAAAGAAAAAGGGGGGTGAAGGAAGGGAAGAGGAAGAGAAGGAAGGAAGGAAGGAAAGAGGGAGGGAAGGAGGGAAGAAGGAAGAGAAAGAAAGGAGAGAGATAGAGGGAGGGAAGGTTGGCCACAGCAACGTGTGGCGGTTACAGCTAGTCTATATAAATAAAAATGTAATGATCGTTTGTGGGATTAACATAACTCAAAAACCACTGGACGAATTGCCGCCAAATTTGGCCACAAGACACCTACTAACCCAAGGAGTGACCATCACTAAGAAAAAATTGATTTTGTCATTTGGGAGTTGTAGTTGCTGGGATAAATAGTCAACCTACAATCAAAAAGCATTCTGAATACCAACGATGGAACTGAACCAAATGTGGCACACAGGACTCCTAGGACCAACAGAAAACACTAAAAGAGTTTGGTGAGCATTGACCTTAAGTTTGGGAGTTGTAGTTCAATACATCTAGAGAGCACTGTGGACTCAAACAATGATGAATCTGTACCAAACTTGGTATGAATATTTCATATGCCCATATGTGAACACAGATGGAGTTTGTGGGAAATAGACCTTAACATTTGGGAGTTGTAGTTACTGGGATTTATAGAAAATACTTAAGGCCATCCGGTTCAATTCCCTTCACCAGGGCAAGAAAATATAATCAAAGCCCTCCTGACAAAGAGCCATCCAGCCATAGATAGGAATAGATATATATGATTCACACACATACAGATTAGTATCATAGATTTGAAAGGGACCCCTAAAGAAGGACAATTATATGTTGCATGTTCCTGAGTAGGCAAACCAGACAATCTCTACGTCAACACTGACAAAGAAACAACAAGAAATACTGTTTACCCGCAAGCATAAAGAAATAACATATATTAGAAACCAACACTTCCTCGTTACTTTATTTTCCAGATCACCAGACTGGGTCACAGCAACACGTGGCAGGAGATGGCTAGTATGGAAATAAAGTTTCAAGGTCTCAGCTAATACTTGCAGGATTTATAAGGTTCCAGGTGCCTATAATCTATCATGATTAAGACTGTTTACAAACTAGTTTGGCTCCTAGTTTGTCTTCTGCATAGATATTTCAAACCCAAGGTATACCTGGTAAATTTATATGACAGTAAAAGGTTTCTTCCTTCAATTTCTCTAGTAATTAAAGCAGTAAGCTCAAAACTATTTTGATTTACTCACAGGATCCATGTTTTAACCTTTGCTAAGCTTTACAGCATGAAAAGAAATGAACTGAAGTAAAGAGTAAACATAGCCTAAGGCTGAGAAAAATATTGCACCTGCTCTTTCATTTGTATTGCTTAACTGTAAAATTATACATATAAATGTGATGCATGGGCAATGTCACCCCATATTTGCAGGCACTGAGAGTGTTTTCTTGTATGTTGTCTCAGAGAGAAAAAACAAGACAAAACTACAACAAAAGACAGTTTAGAAAGAGACGCTAATGTATCCAACAGTGGTCGGAGTTGGCACATTACTAACAAAGCTGCTCTTACTTTGGTAACATAATCTTTACTGAAGACAAGTTAGTGGATGAAAATACAGCTTTGCTATTCTAATGTAATCTACACATACAAATTTATATTTCACTTTGATTTTTTACACTGAAGGAAAGTGGTTATTCTTTTAATTTTGTTTTCTTTAAATCAGTAATAAGAAACAGTAATGAGCAGTATTAATTTCTTACTGTTAACTGCTAGCTTCTTCCGCTGTCTATGAAATACAATTCAGGAATAAGTTAATGAAGCATGCCACAGTTTAAGCACATAAATAAAAGGCATATAATTTCATCTAAAGCAACCTTTTCTAAATAAATGCAGAAAAGCTTAAACTGAACAGTCTGACACGGTGCAATATTGAGTTAGTTATTGACTTTAGGAAGCATTATCAGCTCCTTGACTAACCCTTAGCTGCCAGCAGACGCTGCCTCAGGCCACTACACACCTAATTGCTCGGTAAAAAAGGCTGTTTCCCTACCTCATTGAGCTGGATGATGTGATAAATTTGCCTCAGGTATTCACTGCCACCTGGTTTGTGGCAGATATCCAGGACCATCATGTTTATTTTCTGCTCAGTCAATTCAAGCTCAATAGCTTCCTCCTCTAGGTTTCTATCATCTTCTGCAGTAGTAACAATACTTGGGGGGAAAATAAGCAAAAGTATTACAAGAAAATGAAGAATGTTACTGATAGAGGGAAGGGGACTGAAAGGGAACGTTAATCCACTAGAGTAATACCATTACAGTCACAGATATGGTTTGCAGTACACAAAACTATCAAAATGAGCTTCTGAAAGGATGCTTTAAAGTAGATAGAAATATTAAGTCTACAAACAGTTCAACAGTTCAGAATCATTTCCTTTTCTTCCTTTTATGTTCTCATATTTCCACATTGATGATGTTATAAAATGCTGTCTTAATCTAAACAAACAAAAAAAACTTTACATGTTAAAAACCAAAAGTAATAATATAAATATTAGACAAAAAGAATATATCTGAGGTAAAAAAAACTCTGCATTCTTTCTTTGGCAACATTTCAGTGCCTGTCATATTTTATATCCTGAATAAAATGCCACAGAAGTGGTCATTATACTAAGTGCAGGTTAGAAATCCTATATCTTAAAAGGTTTCTTCCAGGCCACTTATGTGTAACTTTATACATTTATTCCTTCCAGGAAGGGTAGTGAGAAACCTGTCTCTCCACACTTTTTTATTTGTAAGGTTGAAGTTTACTTGCGCACTTTATTTTCTAATAGCGAAGCTTTTATACATTATTATCTGAATTGTTGTATTTAGGTTTTGTCGGACCATTTTGACCCAGTTAACATCACTGGCCACTCAGTCAACTCACGTATCTTGGTGAACCTTTGTTGGAGTCAGTAAATTAATGTGGATGTTTTATGTTTAGGTTTTATGTTAGATATAATTTGATGTCATGTTACAAGTTGTTTTCATATGTGGGATTGTTTTAGGTTATTATGTTTGTATTTGTTGTTGTTCTGAAGAACTGAATGTTTGCCTTTTTTTGTTTGTTGGAATTCGCCCTCAGTCCCCTTGGGAAGATAGGGTGGAATATAAATAAAGTTTTATTATAGTATTATATCATTATAATATTGTTTCGTCCAGCTCCTGGGATAATATTGAAAACCATCTTGACTGGCATGCTAAAAACACCATAAACTGATAGGTTGTGAATAGTAGTATACTATTATAATATTGCAGAAGTGACCGTGTAACATTATGAATGAAATCAATATTAATTTGTTTACTGTTATAAACAATATGTGAAAGGTGAGCCTATGTCTACAAAGATGTAAGCCACAGTGGAACTCATGCTCAGTTAAAAGGATATAGTTCTGCAGCCTCAATGATGCAGATTTCAGCTGTAAACTGCAATTAATAATTTCAACCAGACCCATGTTATATTTGTTCTTGTAGGCTTCCCAGTTTGACTGCTACAACACTACATAGGACATTAGAAATAATATAGGTTCAAAATACAACTCCTTGACCCCACTGATAGTAAATAATTTCATAGCTACTACAAGTTCCTATTTATTTCTGTGCTGAATAATAATGAATACTACCTGAAGGAGTCCAGAAAATAATGTATTCCTATATTTAAAAGCTACATTTTTGAAGGTATATATGTGATACAAGGGAATTTTAGATGAAACTGCTTAGAGGATGACATTGAAAAAGTTGAGGCCCTCTGACAAAGGAGTGTATCGGTGTCAGCACCCGCACGGTATCCTTTCCTGTCCATCACTGTGCAGGTGGAGCAGATGATTGGATTCAGTCAGTGCTGTGATTAATGAGTTCCTCTCTGGATTTGGGACTGCCTATCAATCATGTCATTAGGGAGAATGTGCCCTGAAAGAGGCAGACCTCAGCTAAGGAATAACTGCATTCATCTTAATCTTTATATGCACCCAGTCAGGCAACTCAGGGTCACCATGATGAAAAATAATAATCTTCAACTCAACAAATTATTTTGCAAAGGCAGACATTGCTTTACTTTTGGGACTGTGTGTTCTCCAGAATCTTAGTTGACTGTTTATATAGCTTGGGTCCTAACAACAAAGTGAAGGTTATTCTAATGAACAGGAATGCTTTTAGACAGTACACAAGTCAGGCAATGATGACGGTTGCCACTTTTCTCAGACTTTTCATTGCTTCCATTAGATCTGCATGCATCAAATGTGGTATTTTATTCAAGTAAAATAATACATTTAATATGTTGAACAGGAATACAGCTCCCTTATTCTGACAAATTATACTCAGTCTGCAAAACCATTGTTCAGTTTACAGTAATGCAAATTATTTGGAAAACCAGTTATTATATGTGTTTTTGTAGGTTTTTCGGGCCATATGGCCATGTTCTAGAAGCATTATCTCCTGACGTTCCACCTGCATCTATGACAGGCATCCTCAGAGGTTATGAGTTTATTGGAAACTAGGAAAATTGGGTTAATATAACTGTGGAATATCTAGGGTGGGAGAAAGAACTCTTGTCGGTTGGAGCTAGGTGTGAATGTTTCAATTGGCCACCTTGATTAGCATTCGATGGCCTGGCAGTTTTTTGGTGTGGCTTGTTAGTGCCTGGGGGAATCTTTTGTTGAGAGGTGATTAGCTGTCCCTGATTGTTTCCTGTCTGGAGTTTCCCTGTTTTTCTGTTATAATTTTAGAGGTTTTTTAAAATAGTGGTAGCCAGATTTTGTTCATTTTCATGGTTTTTTCCTTTCTGTTCAAATTGTCCACATGCTTACAGATTTCAATGGCTTCTCTGTGTAGCCTGACATGATGGTTGTTAGAGTGGTCCAGCATTTCTGTGTTCTCAAATAATATGCTGTGTCCAGGTTGGTTCATCATGTTCCTTGATTCGTGTTTGGGTGCTGCGTTTGGTGGTCCCCAAGCAGACATTTCCACTGGTGCACAGTATACAGTAGACTCCTGCAAAGGTGAGAGGATCCCTCTTGTCCTTTGTGAATGTATCATTTGTTGGATTTTCTTAGTGGGTCTGTAGATAGTTTGCAGGTCATGTTTCCTCATCGGCTTCCCTGTGCAGTCAGTAGTTCCCTTGATGTATGGCAAGAACACTTTTCCTCTGGATCTTTGTTTTTACTCTCGTGGCTTGTTCTCGGTCTTGCGGCTTTTCTGATGTCTGTGGTGGAGTATCCATTGGCTTGTAAAGTCCAATTTAGGTGGTTCAGTTTGTCTTGGAGGAGGTGGGGTTCACAGATTCTTTTTGCATGGTCTGTCAGGGTTTTAATCATGCTTCTTTTTTGACTTGGGTGATGGTTGGAGTTGTTATGTAGGTATCTATCCGTGTGTAAACTGTGTGACCCAATTGTTGATCTGGTTTGCGGATGACTAGGACATCTAGAAAAGGCAGTTTCCCTTCATTTTCTTTTTCTATGGTGAACTGGATGTTTGGGTGGATGCTGTTAAGGTGGTCCAGGAACCTGTTTAGTTCTTCTTCTCCATGGCTCCAAATGGTGAAGGCATCATCCATATATCTGAACCATATAGTGGGCTTGTTTGTTGCTGTTTCCAGGGCTTGTTTTTCAAAGTGTTCCATGTAGAAATTTGTTATGACTGGGCTGAGAGGGCCCCCCATAGCTATTCCATTTCTCTGTTCCCAGAATTCATTGTCCCACTTAAAGTAGCTTGTGGTGAGGCAATGGTGAAACAGAGCTGTGATGTCTTCTGGGAACTTCTGGTTGATTCGTGCGATAGTATCTGCTACTGGGATCTTGGTAAATAGAGACACCACATCGAAGATGATTAGTTTATCATGGTTATTGAGCTTGAGGTTGCTGATTTTTTTCTATTAAGTGAGCCGAGTCCTTGATGTAGGGCGTAGTGAGCCCAATATGGGTTTGTAACTGTGCAGCCAAAATTTTTGCTAAATCGTATGTAGGGGATCTAATGGCACTCACGATGGGTCTGAATGGGGTGAAGTTCTTATAGATTGTTGGGAGTCCATAAAGCCTAGGTGGAAGGGCTTCTGATCTGCATAGTTGTTGGCATATGTCAAAGCTGATCGAGGAGGTCTTGATCAGTGTTAGTTTTTCTGGTTATTTTGGAGGCTGGGTCTTGTTTTAGTTTTTTGTATATTGTGGGATCTAGGAGTTGTCTGATTTTTTGTATTGTTCTGTTTCCATTATTATTGTGGCATTCCCCTTGTTTGCTGAGAGAATGATGATGTCTGGATCAGAGTTGAAGTTTCTGGTGGCTTGCCTTTCCTTCCTTGTTATGTTGCTGGGGGAAAGTTTTGCCTTTCTCAGGAAACTTGCTGTTTCCCCTCTTGCTTCTTCAGCTTCTTCCCTGGGGAAGGTGGTAAATTGCTGATTCGACTTTGGCAATGATGTTTTCTACTGGGATCCTGGTGGTGGTCACAGCAAAATTGCCTCCTTTTGCTAGTATGGATACTTGGTCTTCAGAGAGTGGTCTGTCTGTCAGGTTGATGATGGTCCACGGTATATCCAGTTCTGGTTTCAGCTGTTGCTTTTGGTGTTTGTGGAATTTTTGTTTTTGTCTATTGGTGTGGAGAGCCGTGTCTTCATTTTTCTGTAGGTGAGGTTGTCTATTTTGTCCCAGTCCTGGTAATTTATCTTTTGGCTGATGCTGATATGGAGGTGCAACAGTTCCTTGCATGTGTTTGTGAGTTCTTTGTGGATGGTGTGAATTCTCTCATAAGAGGTTGATTCCAGGCAGCCATAGATCTGGTGAGCCTGTGGTGTTTTGAAAGTCCTTTTGGCTGTGAGAAATCGTGGGATAGTATCTGTGTCTCTTCAGGACCAAGAAAGCACATCTACTGTGCTCCCTGACTTTCCTTCTATGCTGCAGAAACACAGATACTACACATCTCAGTTTTTAGTTTGATCCATTTACATATATTAGATTTTTTTAAAAAACAAAATCTGAACGACTTCCAACATTCCAAACTGAATTATGTTATAGACCTAGTAACACCTCTTTCTTATTTCTGTTATCATAGATAGCATTTAGAATTAGTCTTTTAATCACTGGATTAGAGTTTGCAAATGAGTAATAAATGCAAACATAAAGATTATAAAGGTCAATGACCGTTGGTGTGATACTATTACAGATTCATACAATTCCTGCCAGCCAAAATATTCTACCAATAACATAGCAGAAACCTTGCACAGAATTAATGTATTTTCATTTGCATTGATGACCCAATCTTGTAGAACTACTTTTCCAGTATAAATTGTAAGTACCAGAAAATTAGTAAGTTTGCCTTTATGAAGTAGGAATGAAATAAGCACATATTTCTGTTGTTTCAACCATTATAACTAGCAAGAATATAATAATAAATTATCCTACATGCCACCAATAGTAAAATCCTCATATTTCAGATAGCTATAAAACATTTAATTTCAATTAACTTTTTGTAAAATCTTCCCAAAGCTGGGAGCCTGGCATGAAAGTCTGGAAAGATTTTTGCTTTTTTTCATAATGCAGTGGGTGTTTCTGTTGGTAATTCTGAAATGCCCCAGTTTCCCTCTGGATATGCTGTTATTTTATGAAATTAAAAATGCTTATTTGTTCCTAATCAGAGAAATCCCTCTGTATGGACTACATCCTTAATTTAATCTCCATATAAAAATAATTGCCAGAATATGTGTTCAGATGCACAAAGAGAAAAAATAAGATTTTTCTTATGTTTAATTAATACAGGCAGGCAGTCCCCAAATTACTTATGAACAAGATAGTTCTGTAGCTTTGTTCTTAAGCTGAATTTGTATGTAAGCCAGAACACGTACATTTTAAAGTGTAACTCTAGCCATACATATATATAGAGGGGGGGGGGGGTTAGCTTTGGATAGCACAGGGAATGATTGACACCCCTGTGGTGTTTGATTTGCTGTCTGTGCCCTTGTTCAGAAAATTTCATCCCACTTTCTGTCCCTGTGATAACTAGATTTTGAAAAAATTGTCTTGTTGTGGAAATAAGGATTAGTGAGAAAGTTTCAATGGAGACACCTTTTCCCTGTGATAACTCTTTCAGGGGAGAATTTACCTTAAAGGGGTAATTTTTTTCACTTCCCATTCTTAACTATGAGTTGTTTGTAAGTTGGATGTTTGTAACTTGGAGACTGCCTGTACTGTGAATCAGAGCCTTATGAGAACAGTAAATAATTTTACTATAAAATGTTTTATTCTAAAATATGCTGCATATACAAGTGATGATCACACACACAAAAAGCACAGAACATTAATTTTTCTTACCAGTCTATGCTCAGTTTTCGTGCCTTTAGTAACTGGTTTTCGATCCAATTTGGTCTTTGCTGTTCAATACTCTGTATAATCTTGTGTGTCACTTGTTTAGGGCTACTTTTCTTTTTTCCTATAATACTTTCCAAACATATACGAACTAAGTTGAGCTTCTCTTTGCTCCATCTGTCAAGTGTTGTTCCCGTTAAATGCTCTGTGGTATTTCCATCCTCAAATATCCGGCAGATGATTACAATCAAGATCCAGACAAGAAGACCAGCCTTTTTGGATTCAATAAAATTTTTGGGCATTTTTTTCTCAGACAGAAAAAAGAAATACTTAATTGGGGGAGGTAAACATGCAATCACTGTAGGCAACTTGCTGATTACAATAGATATTGCATGGGCAGCAAGCCTTGTGAAACCTTCAAAAAAGAGAGGAAAAAATAAATAATGAATATTGAACAATCTTATATTACAAAATAGTTTTGAACACTGAATGTTGATGTCTAATGTTGAAGACAGCTGAGATGCACAACCCCATTTCGTCTGCCTGTTGTAACGTACCATCCTATGTGGCTAAGGGGTGAATTTGATGACATTGGTGCAGCTATGCAGATGAAACCAATAAAATGACTCCTACATATGAATGAAGTGATCACAGAAAATCTCACTAAATAATGGCTTAGTTAAAACATCTATAAATTCTTTCTAGAGAAGGAAAATTCACGAACAGGCTCTTCATATGATCAGACATTTCACACTACTATCAGACCTATTTTAATAGTAACTCTCAAGAAATCAGAAACTGCTAATCCCTATGGGAACCAGTTAACTGAACTTACAGTAATGAGAGAAAGCAATACAAAACCAACAACTGGAAGACAGCAAATTACAAAAGTCATACTAAAGTTATAGGACAACATGCACAAAAATGTTACAGTTTTAACGTTGTTATATATATATATATATATATATATATATATATATATATCTTGTGATGCTCATAACACATTTACAATAAATTAGTTCTAGTTCTAAACATAGTGATCTGTATAATAGACTGTAAATGGCATGCAGGAAAAGTTGCCATTTTAATAAAGATATTTGGTGATTATTCATATATTTTTACTACATGTAGTAAAGAATTATATTTACAAAATTACTGCAATTGACAATAAATTATTGCTGTTTTCCCCATAGAGTACGACCTGTGTCTCCATTCCAAGACATTTTCTGCATACCTGAAACTGTGTATAATACCAAACCCTATATTTTCACTATACAGGAAGTCTCTAGGTTATGAACAAGAAAGGTTCTATAGGTTTGTTTTTAATAATAATAACATAATAATAATAGTTTGTATTTCTTGTCCGCCTCTCCTCACAGCTCGAAGCGGGTTACAGACTTACTAAAGATTTTTCTTTCTTTCTTTTTTCTTTTATTAATACAGCCAGGCAGTCCTCAAGTTATGAACAAGATAGTTCTGTAGGTTTATTCTTAAATTGAATTTGTATGTAAGTCAGAACATATACTGTATATTTTAAAGTGTAACTCTAGCCATAGGTTTTAGCTTTGGATAACACAGGAAACACACTCCTGTAGTGTTTGTTTTGCTGTCTGTGCCCCTATTCGGAAGACTTAACCTCACTTTTTGTCCCTGATCTAGAAAGACACACAAGCATTTCAAGGAGGAATATATGTATTTTGAAATGTGAGTAAGTGAAAGCATAGGTATTGTCTTTGGATAAAAAAGTTGTACTGTCTGTAAAAGTACCATATATACAAGTTGATCTCATAGCTAAGTTGAGGGCAGGGGTAAGGGCCAAAATTATGGACATTTATGTGATCCCAAGGATAAGTCAAATGTCACCAGTGCCACCTCTGAGGTCAGCCATTCCTGGTTGCTGCTACCATTTCCCTGCTCAGGCGTTCAAAAAGACTAGAAGTGGCACCATAGTGGAGGGGGTAGAGGGGGCTTCTTTTAGGTTCTCACTCAGAAAAAGGACTGTTTTTTTTAAAAAAACGAAAACAAAAACCAGGAGTTAATGTACAGCACTCGTGTTGATCTATGGATAACTCAAACCAGTTTTTGGGGAGTTCAACTAAAATTTCTAGACATATACATGTGTATATCATTGCATTCTATTGGTATTATTGCACTTCCAGTATTATACATATGCACAGACATACATTCTACAAGGAATGCTGCTTACAAATCTAGAACAGTCATCTTAATTGAATAACAGTGAGGAAAATGAAGGTAGTGACAATCAGGGTCCTGTTCTTGCCTATACCCAATTATGAGCTAAACAGATAAACTCCCTCCACTCTTGTCCCATCGTGGCAGAAGCCACACATTTGAGACCATGCAGTGGTTGAAGAAGTGTTGGTCATGCTACAGCCTCCTATAACCTGACCCTAGCCTTTAATTTGACCCTAGCCACTCTCTGTTTTCTTTTGACTGGTAACTAATTTGGGGGGGGGGGGCTTTGAAAAAAATCACCGGCTGCCAAGAAAGGGGCTGTCAACTAGGTATTTATTATTCTTAATGATTTAAAAAAAATGTGTTTAAAACTGCATTTAATTTATTTAGCAGTATTAGATGCCTTGAATATCACCTTTGGGAGAAAAGAAAACTGTAAATCAACTAATCACATAAAAATAAATTACACAGGTTGGTAGAATATTTTATCATTAACAACACATTTTCTTCCCACATGCATCCCCAATGTACTTGTTAAGCTGTTGTCAAGGTATTCTAGAAAACTTCGTAAAAATCTAATGTTTAGTGAATGCTGGCATTGGCCTATGACCGTTGCTTTAAATTATCACAATAGAATCCCTGATAATACTTCTTTGCTTTCACTCCTTTAAGGGAATGATAGTCATTCAATAGCTGTCATTCATTCCTCTGAAAAAAAGTGGAGTGCTTAGCAAAAGCAATCCCACTGAAGGGGGGATGGGACAAAAGTTTTCTAACCTAGAAACAACAAATCATAGAATATTGGAATGCAAAAATAGAAAATGGTGTAAAATCGAAGACTGTAGGAGTAATTCACCTATAATGAAGCTCATTTCTTCATTATAGGTGAAATTTTCCTACAGTCTTTGATTTTACACAATTTTCTATTTTAAGCAGCAGGAAAACGGCTGACTAAATTCTGTGAGGCTAACAGTTAGTTTATGGCAAAAACTTTCTTCAAAGAATCCAAGAAGTGTCTGTATGCATGGACACTAGATGGCCAATACAGAAATCAAACAGATACTTCGTAAGTGGAAGCATAAGATGGAGAATATGATAAGATTGGAGCATAGATGATAAGGTACTAATGGTAAAAGCTAGAATAAGCTAAAGAAGAAGACCTACATGAAACATTATGCAAAATGCAACATGAATAAAGAATTTAAAGACAATGTGTGAAAAACAGATATGTACTATTAAACCTAATTGACTGAGAACCAGAAGAGCTCTGGACTGATGCCAGAGATGTTGTCAGGGAAGAATGCAAAGCAAAATGAAATGAAACAAAACAAAACTCAAATCTGAAGTAAAAAAAAGAGAAGCCTCAATGATGATGGATGGACCGGACCTCCACAAGAATTTAAGGACTGATGAGAAGCAAGAATAAAAGATGAGAAAAATTCTGAAGCCTGAAGCCTGATTGCAACTATTCAATGATTATATGCAGGAACAGGGAAAATTACTATAAAAATAAATACAGGGAAATATAAGGTAATAAAAGGGATGAACAGCAGATTTCTTCCACAAGAGCCAAAAAATCAAAGGGAAATTTGGACCATGAGAACGGATGCACTATGACAAGAAGGGCAAACACACTATATATATATATATATATATATCACAGGTATGTAACCTACCATTATTTGTCGTGTCAGAGCAACCAGTCCATTATATATTACATTTCTAACAGAACAAAGCAAACAAACAGACAAATACAAAACTTGTGAGTTTGGTAGTTGGTTAAATGTCCTTTGACCAGTATCTGGCCACTTGGAGTGCTTCTGGTGTTGCTGCAAGAAGGTCCTCCCTTGTGCATGTGGCAGGGCTCAGGTTGCATTGCAGCAGGTGGTCAGTGGTTTGCTCTTCTCCACACTCGCATGTCGAGGATTCCACTTTGTAGCCCCATTTCTGAAGGTTGGCTCTGCATCTCGTGGTGCCAGAGCGCAGTCTGTTCAGCGCCTTCCAAGTTCCCCAGTTTTCTGTGTGCCCAGGAGGGAGTCTGTCATCCGATATCAACCACAGATTGAGGTTCTGGATTTTAACCTGCCACTTTTGGACTCTTGCTTGATGAGATGTTCCTGCGAGTATCTTTGTAGATCTTAGAAAGCTATTTCCTGATTTAAGGTGTTGGCGTGCTGGCCTGATATCTGAACAGAGGATGGGCCAGAGATGTCACTGCCTTGGCCCTTTCATTACTGGCTGCTACATCCTGATTAGACATTGTAATTTCTCCAGTGGTGTAGGGTGCAGACACCCCGTGATAATGCGGCATGTCTCATTAAGAGCCACATCCACTGTTTTAGTGTGGTGAGATGTGTTCCACACTGGGCATGCATACTCAGCAGCAGAGTAGCACAGCGCAAGGGCAGATGTCTTCACTGTATCTGGTTGTGATCCCTAGGTTGTGCCAGTCAGCTTTTGTATGATATTGTTTCTAGCACCCACTTTTTGCTTGATGTTCAGGCAGTGCTTCTTGTAGGTAAGAGCACGGTCCAGAGTGACTCCCAGGTATTTGGGTGCGCTGCAATGCTCCAGTGGGATTCCTTCCCAGGTGATCTTCAGAGCTCGGGATGCCTCTCTGTTCTTGAGGTGAAAGGCACATGTCTGTGTTTTAGATGGGCCAGAGAAGCAGATGGAGGAAACAGAAGAACGGCCTGCCTCAGGGGAGCATGCATGCTCCATCCATGTTCAACATCTACACAAATGACCAGTCACTGCCAGAAGGGACAGAGAGTTTCATCTATGCTGATGATCGTGCCATTACTGCTCAAGCAGGGAGCTTTGAGACTGTAGAACAGAAGCTCTCCGAAGCTCTAGGTGCTCTTACTGCCTACTACAGGGAAAACCAGCTGATCCCTAACCCATCTAAAACACATTATATGACCAAATAGAAATTTTAAAATGATGAAAACAATACACATAAGAACTATATGAAAGAGATGACAGGATGATAGTCATTTGAAGAAGAACCACATGAACTAAGAATGAATACTGAAGAAAGTCAAAGTACAAAATGCAAAAGCAGGTTTAGAACTGCCCATTAAGAACACAAAAACAGATTATTTACATAACTTTAAATTAGATAATGAAGACAATGAAATAGTTCAAGAGTTTCCATACCTTGGCTCAATCAGAAGAAATACCTTGGAAGAAATCGGAATACAACTAAGGCTTGGAAAGGCAGCTTTGAAGAAACTAGAAAAGATTCTGAAGTATAAAAATATATTACTGTATACCAAAATTAGGATGGTCCATACCATCCTATTTCCCATTTCTATTTACAGTTATGAAAGCTGGGAAGTGAATAAACCTGATAAGAAGAAAATTCTGGAAAAGAGAATAACATAGACTGCTAAAAAGATAAACAAATGGGAACTCTATCTGGAAGCCAAGATGACTAAATTGAAGTAACCATTCTTTGGCCATATTGTGAGAAGATATGACTCACTAGAAAAGATGACAATAGTTGGAAAGATGGATGGCAGTAGGACAAGAGGAAGACTGCATTCCAGATGGATAGACTCAATGAAAGATGCCACAGACATGAGTCTGATTCAGACTGTTTATGACAGGGTAACTCATTCATAGGGCCATTATAAGCTGATGTTGACTTGAAGATAGCTAACAAAATTAGCAATCTTGAAATAGGATGTCCTCCTTCCTATGTAAAACAAATATGGGTCCAGGGCACACAATGCATCCCAATTTGTGATGTGCACAGCTGCATTTTATTCTCTTCTCCAAAGGGACCTTGATTTATATTTGTGTATGTGTTGCACATGCTCACACACACGCATAGACACACATGCCTTTAAGTCACCTGATGACTTATGTTGACCCCATTAATGTCATAGTGTTTTCTTAGGGTGTGACAGACATTGTTGGAACTTTGTAAGACAGCAATAACAATGACAGCCCTGCACTAAATGTACCAACAATCACATCCACAATCTTCTAAAAGTGTCAGTAGTTGTATTGCTATCATGTTCATTATTATGACTTGCCAATTAATTAGAATTCTTCAATTCTGATTTTAAATGAGAAACAACTATGTTGATAAGGAAATAAAAGCACACTTACATTTCCCAGATTCTTTTCTCTTCATTTCTCTAGGTGTATAATTCCATTCCTTTGGAACAGTTTTCAGCAAGCTTTCAGGAACAATTTGCTTGTGCTGATAAGTCCCATAGTTCTCTGTTGCTTCCCATGAATGCATCAAAGAAATAATCTGCTTCACTATGCCCTTTACAGAATCAATCAAAGTCCGTTTCAAGCATCTGATAACTTCTGGCTCTGATTCACCACAACTAGAAACTTTGGAGAGACAATTATTGTTGTAATCTTCACCATCATGATCATCTTCATTATTAAGCATTAAGATATTTTAATCAACAGTTTTAAATATCAACATTCTAAAAACGTTTTCTATACTTTTCTATGTTACAGCCATTTAACTGTAAAAAGTAACTCAATGAAATTGAACACAGTACTTTTATTATTATTACCTCAATGTGGCTTTTGTCTATACACACATTCACACACAAATATATATTAGACTATTAGACATTTCCTTTTTTCACACACTTACAAGGGGAAAGGTATAAAAGTCGGGAAAGAAAGAGGGAAGTTTAGGGATAATGGAGTTATTGTTAGTAGATTAAGTCTTGACCAATATCTAATACTTTGCGCGGAAAGTGGGAGGGGGTTTACGGAGGTAAGAAAAAAGGCAACGTACATAGTTATGGTTATTACATCTAATTCTTTGTTTACACTACACTTATTTTCATTACTTAAAGTATTTAAAAGTTCATATATATCCTCTATAACAAAGAGATGAGTGATATTATCAGTTAGTTTCAAATCTGATAGTCATGCCTTCTTATATCTTCTTGTATTATCTCACATTGTTCTTTCCTCTTTTCTGACCTTCTTATGTAAAAGTTCATCTTGATTATTCTTGTCAGATTATTTCTTTTAAATTTTATCTAATTCTAATTATTGCCTAAGGAATCTAAAAATTAAAGTATTGTATAAATAAAAATTCTCTATAAACATGTCTATTGTTCTTCTTACCCTTAACAGTATACAAAGTTTATATATTTCTAAGTAAGTATTTCTAATCTATTTAAAAGGTGTTAAATCATCAAATTTCAAAATCTTTTAGGTGTGGGGTAGATGTATTACACAAAATTTGTATTTCTATATAAACATTCCAAATCTGATTAAGAAGTGTTGTTCCAACTATTGTCCAGATTTCTTAAATGTAGGAGTAATAGATAATGCATAATGTATATAAACGAGCAATATTCATATTTTTGATCAACAAATCCTGTTATAGATATCTTCTTGTAATTTTTATTAGTTTCGTGTAAGCGTCCCATTCTTCTTGAATTTTTTTAGCCAAAGTCTTGTAGCCTATTCATAATCTTTCAATGTTATATTTTTCTTGTAATCTATTTTTACCAGCTCTTCCAGTTGTGGGATAAATTTTGAATGTGACACCAGGATTACAATCCTTAGAGATGCAGTTAAGATATTCAAAAGAAAATCAAGAGACTTCATTTCCTTTGAATATCTTAATTGCATCTCTAAGAATTGTATTCCTGGTGACACATTCAAAATTTATCCCACAAATCTGCAGCATTTTTCTCAAGTTTTGAGTACCCTTTTCTTTCAGAACTTTTGATGGAGACGTTGTAATAGATCTTTTCCTGTTTGGTATTTTATCTCTTCCTTCATCACCTCCCTTTCTATCTTGTCTGTTTGGTCCAATATGTGAGCTAAAATTTCAAATTTGGTATCAACTTTTCTGACCCTTTTCAAGATATTATCCAATTCATCCACTCTTTGATTAACTCTATCCACAGATTCAGTCAAGTTGCAACCTCATAATTTTATGATTTTTTTCCATTACCATTTTAAAATTATTATTATATTTATATTCCACTTTTAGCTCTTAAAAGAGACTCAAAGTGACAATTAGAAATTGACAATTACTATAATTTAATAGTTTCTCTTTCTCCTCTTCAAAACCCTATGATTGTTTTTGATCTATGTGATGATGTAGCCTACCAGGAATTAATGTAAATGGAATATATTTAGGGATTATTTTTGATGTTTTTGTCATTGACATGATCATCTTCAATATCATTTTCTTATTGTATCTGGTAAGAAACTGATGAAAAGAAAAACATGTAAAAGATAAACAGTCCCCAAGTTACGAACAAGATAGGTTCTGTAGGTTTGTTGTAAGTTGAATTTGTATGTAAGTTGGAACAGATGCATTTTAAAGTGTAATTCCAGCCAAATACATATATAGATTTTAGCTTTAGATAGCATAGGGAAGGATTAACACTGCTGTGGTGTTTGTTTTGCTGTCTGTGTCCCTGTTCAGAAGATTTCACTCCACTTTCTGTCCCTGTGATAATTGGATTTTGAAAAATGTGCCTTGTTGTGGAAACAAGGATTGGTGAGAAAGCTTCAGATGGTGGAATGCATATATCTCTGTGAATGCAAAACATGTGTGCCCAAAATGTTGGACTACAACTAATAAATAGTATAGTCAATTATGCAGAGAGTTGTCATCCAGCAACATGCAGAGAGAAACATGATTCTCACCCCTGATATATTTGAACAGAGAGAAAAAGAGGAATTTGTTATACTATATTACTGACAACAGACACAATATCAGCAGTGAACTAGATTGTGTATCTGTTATTATAATTTACACAAAACTGTAAAAGTGAGGCACTTGGAAGTCTAAAATACACAGTTGTACTGTTCATTTGAAAATTACTGATGGTGTTAAACATTTGAAATAAGGAAATTAATTAATTCATTGACAAATAAACTAATAACTAAAATTTGTCAATTAGTTAAGTTAGCATTAGTTGGCCTGTTTCTAAACCACTGATTTGACGGCACATCACGGAATGTAAAGAGAAAAGCAAGGTTATTACCATTGACCTCGGGAGCCCTTTTTGTTACTGCCACTCACAGAACTGTTATTTTTGTTCCTTTAAAGCTAAATATCCCCAACCTAGAATTTCCTCTCAGATAGACTACAAAGTCCTTAACACAATTGTTAACTAGGGATGGTGAAGGATAGCACATATGAAGAACTGCCAGGCAGAGAAAGATTAACATCTTGCAAAATCATAGGATCTTAAAGATTCCTTAATTAACATTTTGTCACTGATATTTAGCTTTCCGTGTTTTTGTCCCACACTTAGCAATAGTCATGCACCATTCAAACATCTTATTAAAATGAATAAAGAGTGATATTAAATGTTAGGAAGAGTTCATGGGTTAATTGCAGCTATAAGACATTGCTCCACTACAAGTCTAGTAACAATTGGCTGGATAGAAATATCTATCAGGGAATCATGGGTGGAAATTTTGTAACGAAAGCTGTTTTGAGCAAAACATATGTAGAATTCCTTTCTGCAAAACTGAACAACTGTATGCTCTCTGTCTATCCATACTTTATAAAGAATAGTGGTATCCAAAGATTAATGATATAGCACATGTATTGCTCATTTAACTTAACGAGACCTATGCCTGATGAGCTTTTAAAAAAAAGACAAATGGAGGGATGGGATTATTTCAATTTAGTTATGTGAATCTTTTGGTTAGCCCAGCATTACCAAACTACTCAAACTTGTGCAATCTACTTAAGAAAGGAATTAATCAAAAGCAGTATAAGACGGGTGGAGAGAGAACAGGGAAAAAGCAAAAAAAAAAAAAAAAAAGGGGGGGGGGTTCTTAAGATTGAAGCTACTAATATGGGCACAATAATCTTCCATCTGACTCTATGCCATCCTCATGTCTACTCCAAAATATATGGGGATGGAGAAATCTTTCCAGTCAATTATTCCAGTGCCCAGCAATGTGTAAGCGATAATACTGAATGATCACAGAGGGAAGGAGAGTCCACGATTTAGGCAAATTGCAACCCACCACAAATTATAATGTTTAATATTGTATATTGATCAATATCTTATAACAATGTACATCAAATAGAGGTTGAATGGCCATCTTTAGTGTTTTAACTCTGTATTCCTGATTAGTAAGAGTACTGCATTATACAGCTCTTGTGATCTCTTCCAACTGTGCAATTACACCACATAAATATTGCATAATATACAATAATATGTAGTAGAAACCTGAATAAAATGGGGAGAGGGGAACACAGCACCCTTCAGAAAGATACACTATACTGATTTTAAGTATGTGTTTGCATCTGCTTCCATTTCTTGGAATGTCGAAACAAGTCCGTTTAGTTTCTCACTCCCACCTCTTTTGCTCTACGGAGTTAATTAGTAATATGTTGCAGGTTAGATACAAAGCTCCCCTTGTGATAAGAATAACTTAATATAAACTTAACAGATTATTGTCGATATTCCTCTTCATTTGTGCATCTCAGAAGGACAGGAGACACCAAGGAAGTCCAAAAAGATAAACATGTTAATAAGTCTGGTCAGGTATCAGCCTTTCACGCCTAAACAGACTAACATTCTACAAGGACTGTGGCTGCTTGGGAAGTACCCATCTACCACACTTTATTCAATTCTATATCAAAATTGTGTTCTGTCTTGTTCAGTTCCTCACTGCCCTTGGCACTTTCTTTCCCAACTATTTTTGTTGGGTTATGCTAACAAGCAAAAGAGCCATGTGATTTATTTCCTTCAGTCCTAATTCTTCTCCCTAGACCTTCTATATATATAAATCTGTTAGGTTGGTTCAACCGGACAGCAAAACTCCACAACCCCCCAACGAAACTGCACCAAAATTGCCATGCCCCAAGGACAACCCACTCGGTACAAACTAATCCACTCAGAATTGAAAACAACACAACAACACACAGATAAATCGCCAAAACAACTGAGCATTCGCACTGGAGCAAAGTCCCCAGCGCGCGCGCACACATGGCCGAACGGCCAACGCACCCTCCGCACTTCCCTCCCTCCCTCACCCCGCCCAGCACGAACACGTCGCCGCCCACACGCACACACAAACAACGCAGCTTCCCCCGGCCCCCTTCCCTCCACCCCCTCCTTCATCTCCTCCACGCTGCCTCCAAGCCCCGCTCTGCACACTCCAAGCCTCGCCGCGCCGCATCCCCTCCGGAAAGACACACCCCCTCCCTTCGCCCCACCCCTTCCCTCCGTGACTTACTCCTTCCCTCCTCCCACCACCTCTGGAAAGACACGCCGGAAAGGAGTCAAGGTCACGGAGGGAAGGGGTGGGGCGAAGGGAGGGGGCGTGTCTTTCCGGAGGGGGAGGGAGGAGGGAAGGAGTGAGTCAGGGAGGGAAGGGGTGGGGGTGAAGGGAGGGGGCGGCTTTGAAGACACGCACCCTCCCTTCGCCCCACCCCTTTCCTCCGTGACTTACTCCTTTCCGGCGTGTCTTTCCAGAGGTGGTGGGAGGAGGGAAGGAGTATGGGCGTATTGAATGCTTTGGTCCGGATCCATCATTGTGTCTTCAAAGTTGCCCCCTCCCTTCTCCCCACCCCTTCCCTCCCTGAGTCACTCCTTCCCTCCTCCCACCCCCTCCGGAAAGACACGCCCCCTCCCTTCGCCCACCCCTTTCCTTCCAGGAGTCAACAGGGACCAGTGCGCATGCTCAGTTGGAAGGAAAGGGGGAGTGTTACTAACCGGAGAGGGAGGAGGGCAAGGAGTGAGTCAGGGAATAGAAAGAAATGGGTGGGGCGAAGGGAGGGGCGTGTCTTCAAAGTTGCCCCCCTTCGCCCCACCCTTTCCTCCGTGACTCACTCCTTTCCTCCTCCCTCCCTCCGGTTAGACACGCCCCCTCCCTTCACCCCACCCCTTCCCTCCATGACACTCCTGGAAGGAAAGGGGTGGGGGAAGGGAGGGGGCGTGTCTAACCGGAGAGGGAGGGAGGGGGAAGGAGTGAGTCACGGAGGGAAGGGTGGGGCGAAGGGAGGGGGCGTGTCTTCAAAGTGCTCCTCCCTTCGCCCCACCCCTTCCCTCCCTGACTCACTCCTTCCCTCCTCCCTCCCTCTCTGGAAAGACACGCCCCCTCCCTTCGCCCCACCCCTTCCCTCCGTGACCTTGAGCATGGGAGTTGTAGTTCACCTACATCCAGAGAGCACTGTGGACTCAAACAATGATGGATCTGGACCAAACTTGACACAAAAATTCCATATGCCTAAATATGTATGCAGATGGAGTTTGGAGGAAATAGACCTTGACATTTGGGATTTGTAGTTACTGGGATTTATAGTTTACTACAATTAAAGAGACAGAAATGGGGCAAATTTCCAACACAGAACCCCCATGACCAACAGAAAATACTCAAGTTTACACACAAGCATAAAGAAGGGTGAGGAAGGAGGGATGCCAGAGAGAGAAAGAGAGAGAGAGAGAGAGAGAAGGGAAAGGAAGGAGTGTGAGAGAGAGAAAGAGGGAAAGAGAACGAGGGAAGGAAGGAAGAGAGGCCAGGCAGAGACTTCAAAACTCTTACTAAAGGCCACAGCAACGCGTGGCAGGGCACAGCTAGTATTTTACTGAATCTGTCAGAGGATCAGCCACCACTCTCATTGAACTATTGTAAAAATAATTAACTTGTTAAAGTATAATATTGTCTAAAGCATTAATCAGACAATCTAGTGAGGTAAGACATATTGAGCATGAAAAATTAACGAGTTGATAATTTAATAAACTAATTAGCTAACAATATATTTCAAAGCTCTGAAAAATCAATAAAATTAGACATTTTGTAAGTAGAATAAGCTCTATCATATTTTTCAAACCTGATATATTGTGTAAATAATCCCACATCTGTTCTTTTTCCATGTAGTTCTGAAGAACATTACCAAGTGATTTTGGAGATAAGGTACAATAGGATAGAACTGTAAAGATTGCTTCTGTTAAGCTAGGTTTTCTGCTACATGTTTGGTTTATGCAAGGACTTTGCTCTCCACTTTCAGGCAAATCAGATTCTTGAAGGGAAAAGAAAGAAAGAAAAAATGCTTCAACTGTCAACACAAAATTACATTATAGAAACACACACAACTAGATCTACCATAAAATGTAGTTGCATCTGCATATTCTCCTCAAAATATATTTCCAATAAAACCACATGTGTGACAGCTTGATACAAAGCCCATATTTAACTGGTTTACAGCTTTGATGTATTTAGCTTTAATTTCATGTACAATGTAAGGAGGCCTGAAGTAAGACTGCAAACAGAGATAGAGCTAGTGTAAAATAAGAAGGTTTCTCGCTGAGAGCTGGAGGTTTCTTCACTTGTCAGTCTTGGAGAGAAGGAGGAGGGAAAACTAGTATCATCTCAAAGCTTCTAGTAAGCCGACCCTGCTTTGAAATCTGTGAGAGATTCCCTTTGTGCCAGTCTTAATAAAGGCACATTGGGAACTAAGAGAAAAATGTGACCTCTAACAGGACAGACATGGGGGCAAAGTGCACATGAGCCTATGCTATCATTTGGTCAAAGGGACAAAACACTTTGTCTGTTTCTGATTCTGCATCCCTTTCCTTCTATTTGTCTTCAGTAAAGCTATTAACTAAGACATTCTGCTCTACATTTGCTGAATCTCAGGAAAATGGTCAGTCATAGATTAATAAATTCTGTCACTTCATCCTTGTGATAATTGAATAAGCTAGTAAATTTAATGCAGGATAATAGCAGTGTAAGAATATGATCTTCATCAGACATTTGTCAGTCTTTGTAAAAGATGACATGCATTTGAATAGGTAAATGAGTACTTTGCAACATTCAATAAGAAACATGACAGAAGTTGAGTGGTGGTGCATTTCTGAAAAATGTTAAGACCACTTAGAAATGACAGAACTAAATCACATGTGAACCTAATAAAACCAAGGTGAAATTGCTTAGCAAAAATTATAGAAATACATTATTAATATAATGTCGTGCAATAGAAGAGTAACATTATTGTTGGTAACCTTATAATAAATATGTTATAATAAAATGTTATTTAGATGAATTTAGACCTCACTACCTCTGAAGATGCTTGCCATAGATGCAGGCGAAACGTCAGGAGAGAATGCCTCTAGAACACGGCCGTATAGCCCGAAAAAACCTACAACAATTCCGGCCATGAAAGCCTTCGACAATACAATATATTGTATATTTCCTATTTAACATATGAAAGATTTTAAAACATTTTTCTCATATTCACATTACTTCTTTAATATCTCTTTAGTATCTCTTCTCTTACAAGACTAAATCAGTTGGAAGACACACACTAATTTCAGTACTACCAACAGGAAAAAAGCTTTATGTGTGTGTGTGTTTGTGTGTGTGTATACACACAGACATCCACAATCTAAGATACATCCCAGCTTTAGAGATGCTTAAAAAACTTTTAGCCATTCTGTATCATGCTGTAATCTACTTGGCCACATACTACAGTAGCCCTTTGAGGCAGAGTAGTGACTTAAATTGTGACTTGGCAAAAGACTACAAATGAAGATGAAGCAGTAAATCACAATGGTTACAAATTGCGGTTTGCAAACCAACTTCAAACTACCCCAAGATATCTGGTTTGGCAGAATATCTCAAAACTATTTGTAAACTGATACTGGTTTCAGACATGGTTTGGAATTAGATCTGAATGCATACCTGTATCATTTCTTATCAAGTATTCTTGAGTTGAAATACATTTCTTTTGAAGACTCTCGAGTCAAATTAAGATTTCATTTCAATATCATTAATATCTTTTAAAAACCATATTGTGATGGTCTATCAGAAAACCAACAGGCAAGCAATATCTTTATTCAGACCAACAAAGAGTTGCAACAAAGAGTTGCCACAGAAGACTTCATCAGGCTAAGTATTTTACCAACACATTACCCAGAATCAAAATGAACATATTAACACTCAAAACTGGAGTGAAATTTCAATACAGTATGCATTCTAAAGTTAGTTGTGTAATGTGATTTCTGCAGTGAAAATGGAGGAAGGCTGAATAATGCACTTGTGTTTCTACAGCTACAGATAGTATCAATACTTACTGGAACTTCTCAGTAAAATTTTCAGCAAGAGACAATCACGATGTAGCAATGTTTCCAAAAGCAGGTTCCAATTACAATATGGTTGGGATAAGAGCAGTTTCAGTTGACCCTGAGCTGCCATTCCTTTAGCTGATGGAGTCCTTTCAAAATGTAAGATAAAGACAGAATAATGTACTTAATTTATCTATGAAATTAATAGCCTTAAAGTGCAGATGTAATGCTAACTCCTTTAAATGTCAGTTCCTCCCAGAGTCCTCTGAAAATGCTTTCATGGTTGCTTACTTTAAGACTGCTCAGGGAAGGAATTATGTTTAATCTCAACTAGCTAAAAGCAAATTAACATTTGGTAGACTGCCAAATTCATAACTGATACAAAGTAACCTCACTTATCTCTTTCATTGGCACTATGTACACTTGTTTCATGAGCAAAAATTATTTTTAATGCCTGAATAAATCTGAGGCATTATATTTTAGTTCAGTATTATATTTAATTGTTTAGAATGATGTTATAAAATATTTAAAATTGGATCTATGAGGTGAAGTCACACTGTAATTAAGGTAGATTTATAAAAAATACATTCAGTCTTATAAACAGATGCATGCAGAAAGAGTGACTTGGAAAGGACTATTATAGTTAAGGGTCATTGGAAAATGTATTAGAAACTCGTGCTCAGTAAAAAAAACTTGTGCAAAATGGGCAAAATGTTTGAACTCTTAGATTACAAGGAAGCCAATATTATGGCAACTTTTCAACAACAGTTTATGTTTACATAAGTTCTGCAGCATTTATTATGTGGAGTAATATTCTATTGGAATATGGAGGAGACCCTGGTGGCACAGTGGGTTAAACTGCTGAGCAACTGAACTTGCTGACTGAAAGGCTGGCGGTTCGAATCTGTGGAGTGGAGTGAGCTCCCGCTTTTAGGCGCAGCTTCTGCCAACCTAGCAGATCGAAAAAAATGCAAATGTGAGTAGATCAATAGGTACTACCATGTAGTCATGCTGGCCACATGACCTTGGATGTGTCTACAGACAACGCCAGCTTTTTGGCTTAGAAATGGAGATGAGCACCTCCCCCCAGAGTCGGACACAACTAGACTCAATGTCAAAGGGAAACCTTTACCTTTGCTATTCTATTGGAAGCTTCATATCTCTGAAATTAGATACTGTCATGAACCCTATGAGAGCTGTATAGGGTGAGCCTCAAAAGATTGTCCTTTGGATCAAGTTTTTTGCAGAGGAGAGAGAAACAATAGGCATGAAAGGATTACCAAAAAAGAACTTTAGCCTTCTTTTAGTGCTGCCATTCATTGACTGGAGAGAAACTGCTACGTAAGCCTGAACAAGTATTAGTGATCACAGAGTTTATTGCTCCATGCTGAGACACAAAACATCTATACTACACACCTGCAAGATAGCAATACACACTGATTGCAAAGGCCACCTGTTAGACAGCCCATTCCTTTACTCCAATTCCCACTATATAAATAAATCTTTGTATTTGTCTGTTCACTCGGATATTCCGGAAATGAGTAGCAACATTTAGCACTGTATAGTTTAGAGGCAACATCTCATTCTCTAAATCTGAGAAAACCGTGGCCTTTGAAGAGTTAGATCTTTAGGAATTATTTTTAAAGTAGTACCTAACACGATGGAATACTGGGTTAGAGAAGAAGCTCAGTTATCGTTGACCAGATGGAATGTTATTGCCTTTTAAAATTCACCAGTTCTTGGCTCTTAAAGCATCATGCAAATTGAAATGTACAGTGATATGATTCACTCAGAGGGAAAATTGAGTACTACAGATATTCCCTGCAGCCACTATGCTAACACTGGTAAATGTACTGAAAAGTTTTATATTGTACATATGGAGAAGCATATGTTCTCTCATCCTCCAAGCTCATGTAGCTGTGAACACAAGGCTAGCCACATGAAGAGGCAAAAGGTGAACTATATATAAAACACGGCAAATGTAAATGCTCAGTTCTGCAATAAGAAACAAGCAACTGTTCCCATCCACCCCCACAAAACTATCGCAACTAGAGCCCAGTTCATAGCACACCACAAGCAGCACAGTAGCTACTAGTAATCTCTCTTTCTTCACATACTTCACAGCAAGGTAATTCTATACCGTATCACGGAGCTACATGGAGAGGCAGAGAGAAATTACCATCAACAATGGTATAGCTATTGCCAGGACTGTAGCTCTTTTTATACACACATGAGACACAAGCACTTAGTCACTAAATGGACATGAATACACTTGGAAGCCAGTTATTATTTAAACAAAATATAGAATGAAAAGGAAAAAAATATGAACAGCATTTTGAATCACCATAAAGATTAGCACATATATCATATTACACATGTTCAGGAACTAGAATCCACACTATAATTTCAACTATATTAATTCTATGAATACAGAACAAGGAGGGAACAATTTATATCACTGGTGACCATGACGACTGTTAGTCACAATATACATAGAAACAACATATACCGGAATCTTTGTAAGGCGTGTATACGGATGAAAACTAATCTTATCACCAATCAGAGAAGTTCTTATGTGAGACTAACTAGAAACATTTCATGTAAGAGTCAGGGCTGTGAAGTCAATATGCCACACCTTTAACTCTGACTACAACTCCCAAATTTTTGTCCTTATTGAAAGTGATTCCAGCTCCTTCAGAAGTGGCAAATGTACTGTACCATGGAGCTATATGGCGAGGCAGAGAGAAAGTACCATCAACAATGGTATAGCTTTCCCCTGATATTAAGTCTAGTTATGTCTGACTCTGGTGTGTGTGTGTGTGTGTGTGTATGCTCATTTCCAAGTCAAAGAGCCGGCGTTGTCCATAGACACCTCCAAGGTCATGTGGCCAGCAGGACCGTTCCTTCCCGCCAAGGCGGTACCTATTGATTTACTCACATTTGAATGTTTTTGAACTGCTAGGCTGGCAGAAGCTGGGGCTAATTAGTAACAGCAAATTTACTATGGTAAAATGATGAGTAGGAAATGTCACAGCACCTTTATGACTAACTGTTTTTACTTCCACGTGGATTTTGTGGATATATACCACCTTCATTGGATGCTGGATATTACTTTCCCATTACTCCCTTTCTCCTGTTTTTGTAATATGATAGAACAAGGCACTTCACCACTACCAAGTAAAGCATCAGATTATTTAGAGTGATAATACATATAATGTATTTAGTTGAATAACATTTCCGAAAACCTTTCTAAATCCCTCTGAAAGTAAACATGCAAAACACTATGCATATAAAACATGTCAAAATGTTTGTAAAAGAACAATACAATATACCTTAATTTTTTAAATATAAAGTTAAGATTCACAGAACAAAATACATATATTTTTATAATATTTTAAGATTGTAATTTCGAGCAAGAGTTGGAGTGAGTACCACTGATTCTGATTCCATTCCAAATTGCTTTTTATTCTCAATCCTAACCCTACAACATGAACTTTGGTGAGAGAGAGCTAATATACTTGTTAAAGTATTGACAGTAAGAGATTAAAATTGAAATAGCTTACAATGTATTTATTAATGAGTATGCTATTACAAGTGAGGGAGAGAAAGAAAATTTTACATATTGTGTAATGAATTTTATCTTTATGAGTTGCTTTAAAAAAAAAGACGTTCATGTTTTCATGCATTATCCTCATGTCAAAACAGCTGTTATGCTGCCTAGTTAAGTCTAACTATATAGGTTTTTCCACACTGCTCCCTGATACTGACTGCAAGTAATTTTAGTGTTTTAAAGCCATGCTTGTTTCTGTAATTGGCTTGAAAATGAAAGCAAATTGCATTTGTTTCAGTAAATTGTATTCTCTTAAGTACCCCTGAAGAAAAGATATCACCCATAATACATTGGGTCTTATCAAAGTCTTTCAAGTACACTGTTTACTCATTTTTCTTTAAAAAAAAACCTGTTTCAAGATGGTAAGAAACATAATCATGAAAGAATATCAGACTCACAAAAATTTCATACTATATAGTAGAAACTCCACATTTTTTTTTCAGAAAAAGTGTGAAAAATTAGAGCACCCCTTTACAAATACCAGAAGTTATCATGGGACAAGATGTTGATGAAATATATAAATGCTGTGGTGACAGGAATAGGTTGTAAGAGGGTGGGGGGAGTGTAGGAGGCCTCTTGGTACAAAGTTAGAAGAGAAATGACAGTACAAATGATAGCATATGTCTCATATGTAAATTGTAATACACTTACCGAAACAGCAAGAAAATTATGTGTTTGCTTGCTGCTAAACACTCTATGTTCTAAAAATGTCAAATATGAGCGAAGCAAATGTAAAGTTTAAGATTGGTAGAATTATGCTGCTTTTCCAACTCTTAAAGTTACTACTTTTTCAAAAACCAACCATACATTTCTCTCAACTACAAAATGAGATTGCAGTACTTGGATTGAGTTTATTATTGCTAAGAATTGTGCATTTTACGAACAAAATAATTATATATTATTTTATAATATTTTAATATTTTAAAAACATGATTTATTTTGTAATAAATAAAAGTACTACACAACCTTCAACACTACAGAGACCCCAGTTGCTCAATGGGTTAAACATTTGTGCCAGCAGGACTGCTGACCAAAAGGTCGGCGGTTCATCGAATCATAGAATCATAGAATCAAAGAGTTGGAAGAGACCTCAAGGGCCATCCAGTCCAACCCTGCCAAGAAGCAGGAAAATTGCATTCAAATCACCCCTGACAGATGGCCATCCAGCCTCTGTTTAAAAGCCTCCAAAGAAGGAGCCTCCACCACACTCCGGGGCAGAGAGTTCCACTGCTGAACGGCTCTCACAGTCAGGAAGTTCTTCCTAATGTTCAGATGGAATCTCCTTTCTTGTAGTTTGAAGCCATTGTTCCGCGTCCTAGTCTCCAGGGAAGCAGAAAACAAGCTTGCTCCCTCCTCCCTGTGGCTTCCTCGCACATATTTATACATGGCTATCATATCCCCTCTCAGCCTTCTCTTCTTCAGGCTAAACATGCCCAGCTCCTTAAGCCGCTCCTCATAGGGCTTGTTCTCCAGACCCTTGATCATTTTAGTCGCCCTCCTCTGGACACATTCCAGCTTGTCAATATCTCTCTTGAATTGTGGTACCCAGAATTGGACACAATATTCCAGGTGTGGTCTAACCAAAGCAGAATAGAGGGGTAGCATTACTTCCCTAGATCTAGACACTATGCTCCTATTGATGCAGGCCAAAATCCCATTGGCTTTTTTTGCCGCCACATCACATTGTTGGCTCATGTTTAACTTGTTGTCCACGAGGACTCCAAGATCTTTTTCACACGTACTGCTCTCAAGCTAGGCGTCCCCCATTCTGTATCTCTGCATTTCGTTTTTCCTGCCAAAGTGGAGTATCTTGCATTTGTCACTGTTGAACTTCATTTTGTTAGTTTTGGCCCATCTCTCTAATCTGTCAAGATTGTTTTGAATCCTGCTCCTGTCCTCTGGAATATTCGAATCTGGGGAGCAGGGTGAGCGCTCGTCTGTCAGCTCCAGCCTCTCATGCGGGGACATGAGAGAAGCCTCCCATCAGATGACAAATCATCTGGACGTCCCCTGGGCGTGAGAGAATTCTGGCCAATTTTCTCACACCAGAAGTGACTTGCAGTTTCTCAAATCGCTCCTGACATGGAAAAAAAAAACCCACTACAAAACTACCATATTAATGTACAGACATTTTTGAAATATTTAGGAGCTAATGTAAATATTACTTTATAATTGCAACTTGATTAAAATATTGCTATCCTTCCCATTCCAATCCTGATCTCTACAACATGGCAAAACACGCATCAAGTATGCAATGAATGACCCCACACAACGTTCTAGTGATATAATTTCTTCAAAGCAATTTAAAATGAATACTTATTATAATTATTTGTCAGAAAAGACATCAATAAGGAACATAACCACAGATTGTATTGGAATTCTTTTTATCTATACCAGAACTCACGTCAACAAAGAAGAGCAAAATTGAGTTATGCCCGATATCCAGTACAATGGTTGGTAAACAGTAGGCTCTACAAACCCTGAGGGCAAGGTATCACTGCTGTTATTTTGAAACGTCCTGAAAAATAAAAATGTTTCAGAATAATGGGTTACAATGTTTGAATGTCTGAAAACAGGTACAGAAAAAATTAACTGGATTGCATCCAAACAGCTACCATACTTATATGCATGGAAGATACATCACCTTGTGCGTGAGATCTCTAAATTCAATTTAGTCTCATTTGAGATTTCTAGTCTTATTCCACACATCATTATGAAACAATCTCCCAAGCCACATGAATTGCTTGTGTGGGCTACTCAGGGTTACAGTTCACAAACACAGCTGTACATGAATTATTTCTTCTTCTTCTTCGAATACATGTACAATATAAAAACTAAATCCTGTCTATATATATACATTTAGCTTTCCAACATCTTTAAAACAAGTTTCAAAACTAGTCATGTCAACATAGGAAGAGTGTTGTTAATCAGATCAAATGTCCATTTAGTCCATGGGCTTGGCCTCATGTTAGCCGTCCCGAGTCCCCAATTGGGGAGATGGTGGCGGGGTATAAATAAAGTTGTTGTTGTTGTTATTATTATTATTATTATTATTATTATTATTATTAGTCCAGCATCCCATTCCCAGTCATGGCTAAACAATTGCTTTCATGAAATAGTATTCATTGGCATAATTTGAATTTAGAGATTCCATAGAGGAAACATGATCAGCACTTGATAATACACCTATCGCACCATGCATTCATCACTGGTTTGGGAAAATAAAAAATCAAAATTACATATTGTGTGTAGCTGTTTTTTCTTTCCTGGAACTATTACTTACACCAGAAGAAAGGCGGGATAAAATAAAGTAAACAATAAAATAAAATATATAATTTAATTGAGCAATTCCAATTTCAACGAAGAAGAGCTTTTCACCTGTCTGCTCTCTCCATATTATGCATTGGTCTCCTAAGGAAAGTGTCAATTTCAAGATCGTTTTTGGTGTCCTTCTGCTTAGCTATTGGCAGATCACATCACCATAAAGACAAATAATAATAATTTTATACTTCACATACATTACTTTCTCTTCTGCCTCTCGTTTTACATTTTGATGCTCCTTTTTCTAGTCTGATATTATTCATTTTGGGATTTTTCACATTCCACTTGTGTTCCTCCCCTCCACCACACTGCATTTTACTTTAAATCATAAATAACTTTACTTTAGGTCCACTGCACTGTAGAGGAAATATCCTGGATTGCTAGACATGCCATCCAAATCTTGGCAAATATATTTGGAGCTGTCATCAAGCCAAAAAATATGTATTAGATATTTCTTTTATCTACATTATTTCTTTCTCCTTCAACAGGACACAAAGTACTGTATTTTATATATCCATAAATGTGGTTGAAGTGCAGCTATCTGCTGTGTGAAAGTTGTATCGGGACAGTCAGAAAGGGATTCAGATAGGTCTACAGAGGTTTCAGAGCCATGGCACTTAATACTTTACTTTCTTTAATTGTGTCTATCTTTAACCATTCCATTGCCATAGAATTGTCCATACATCTATTTTCCTCTACGATAACTATAGAGTTATTGATTGTGGATGAATGGTTTTGGAGGGTCTTTTTATCACAGACTCCGCCCCCATTTCAGGTTGAATCCCATAGGGAGGAGGGAGCAAGCTTGTTTACTGCGGCCCTGGAGACTAGGACGCGGAACAATGGCTTCAAACTACAAGAAAGGAGATTCCATCTGAACATTAAGAAGAACTTCCTGACTGTGAGAGCCATTCAGCAGTGGAACTCTCTGCCCCGGACTGTGGTGGAGGCTCCTTCTTTGGAAGCTTTTAAACAGAGGCTGGATGGCCATCTGTCGGGGGTGCTTTGAATACAATTTTCCTGCTTCTTGGCAGTGGGTTGGACTGGATGGCCCTTGAGGTCTCTTCCAACTCTATGATTCTCTGATTTATGATTCTATGATTTATGATTCTACTAGCAGTCCCCTGCCACGTGTTGCTGTGGCCCAGTCTGGTGATTTGGAAAATAAATTAGAAAGTATTGGTTTCTAATATATGTAATTTCTTTATTCTTGTGGGTAAACAGTATTTCTTGCTGTTTCTTTGTCAATGTTGATGTGGAGATTGGTTTGCCTACTCTGGAGCATGCAACATATCACTGTCCTTCTTTAGGGATCCCTTTCAAATCAATGTGTGTGTGAATCATATCTATCTATCTATCTATATCTATGGCTGGATGGCTCTTTGTCAGGAAGGCTTTGATTAAGTTTTCTTGCCCTGGTGAAGGGAGTTGGACTGAATGGCCTTAAGTATTTTCTGTTGGTCATGGAGGTTCTGTGTGGGAAATTTGTCTCAATTCTATCATTGGTGGTGTTCAGAATGCTCTTTGATTCTAGGTGAACTATAAATCGCAGTAACTACAACTCCCAAATGTCAAGGTCTATTTCCCCCAAACTCCATCTGTGTTCATATTTGGGCATATGAAATATTCGTGCCAAGTTTGGTCCAGATCCATCATTGTTTGAGTCCACAGTGTTCTCTGGATGTAGGTGAACTACAACTCCCAAACTCAAGGTCAATGCCCACCAAACCCTTCTAGTGCTGGTCATGGGAGTCCTGTGTGCTACGTTTGGTTCAATTTCATCATTGATGGGAGTTCAAAATGCTCTTTGTTAGTAGGTGAACTATAAATCCCAGCAACTACAACTCCCAAATGACAAAATAAATCATTTTTGAGTGATGGTCACTCCTTGGGTTGGTAGATGTCCAAATTGGTGTCAATTCCCCCAGTGGTTTTTTAGTTCTGTTAATCCCACAAACACATTACTTTTTTATTTATATAGACTAGCTGTACCCGGCCATGTGTTGCTGTGGCCCATTGTGGAGAAATGGGAAAGAAAGAAAAGAGAAAGAGCTGGTTTCTAAGCTATCAATACACAATTGAAATGGCAAAGTGTCAACCTAATATAGGACCCTTTTCAGTCTCCTCGAGGCCAAAGGGTTATATGGATGTGTGAAAGGGCCCTGGGTTACCTGTGTCCACACTGCCATATAGCCCAGTTCAAAGGTATTATATAGGTGGTATTATTATTATTATTATTATTATTATTATTATTAATGTATAGATATTATTATAGACACAAATATTATTATTAAAGGTATATAGGAATTATTATTATATTTATTTTTTATTTCATATCAAAATTTTATTATTATTATTTACAGTATTTATATACCACCTTTCTCACCCCTGGGGGGACTCAAAGCATTGCATGAATTAGTATAAAACTGATAAAAAAATAGAAGGAACACAGGGCTAAACATCTTTCAAGCAAAAACGGGCAACAGATGTATGGATATTATTGTAGACCTATAGATATTATTATAGGCATATAGATATATTATTACTATAGATATTATATAGCTATTATTATAATAGATGTATACATATTATTATACGTGTATATAGATATTATTATTATTATTATTATTATTACTATTATAGACATGGATATTATAGGCATATAGGTATCTTTTTTGAGTAAAGGACATAGATTGCTTTAGTAGATGTCTTGTGTCCAAATTTGGTCAATTCGTCCAGTGGTTTCTGAGTTCTGTTAATCCCACAAACAAACATTACATTTTTTTTATATAGATGATTCTACGAGGTCCTTTTCCCTATATGTCCAGTGGGCATCACTCTCTAGTTTTTGTCAGTACCAGAAATTTTATCGTGGGGCCCCGGAGGATTAGCAGAAATTAAAAGCAGTTTTCAGTTTGGACCACTTCCAGATATACCGTGGTTCTTCTAGCTAGGAGTTATCATTGAAATCAAAATCTGGGATTCCCCTGTCAACTCCTGGAATGAGTTGTTGCCTTTGTTCCTCCCTTTCCCCTCACGTGCTATCCAGCCTATCAAAATGGAAGATGAATAGCTGCAAGGTTGTGGAAACTACATAGCTGTCACTATTGAGACAATCTAGAGACCTGTACAAGTCAGCGGAGGGGAAAAGACCTCTTACCACATACGCTATAGAATCTGCTTTCAGGTTTTCTATTCTTATAGCCACTTTGTGTAAAGAGTAATATCCCCTGGACCTGAAGGGGTGAATTATTAGAAAAGGCTTTTTGGTGGCCTCAATGTGCTGCCAAGAGGAGCAGAACGTTACTTTCTGCACACATCCTAATGCCAAAGCTTTCATAAATCTATGTTTAATTGCCTAGCATATAAAAAAAAAACCCTAGTAGGAAATACTCTTTATGTATAAGAAATGCTATAGCAGCTGCCTCTTGTCACAGAATTGAGGAAAGCATCTGTGAGAGTATTTGATATCAAGGAAAATTCCATGGTACAGTTATGCTATTCTTATGTAGCATATGACAAGGTGAAAATTGATCTTGTAAATCTTCGGGCCAGTATGAAATGATGAGATGCCTAATATTGCTGCCTTGGAAAATTTTACTGTTATACACATTCTTATGTTCTGTATAGTATCTAGCTGAATAAATTTGAAACCAGCTTTTTTCCGTTTTTTTCTATGATTTTTTAAAAAGCAAAATAGAACAAAAAAGCAGGAAATGGAAACAGAGGTTATAAGAGAATATTAAAAGTACAGTTCCAGCCAGATAAGCAAAAGCAACCTGTTGTATATATGGAGGGACTATGAAAAAAGACTTATTGGAAAATACTGAACCCTGCTGATTGGTTGTTTCTTTATCCTCCAGTGTTCTACTTACTGAGCTTTTAAGTTGCATGGCGGGGGGGGGGGGGGGGTTACACATATACCCTATATAAATGAAAAGAAGATATGCTCCTAAAATTCTGAGCTGTGTGTGTGTGTTGTGTGTGTGTGTGTGTATATATATATATATATATATATATATATATATATACATATATACACACATATATATATATATATGGTCTCAGCCAGCATCAATGTTGTCAATTGAATTAATTGCTACTTGCATTCAAAGATGAACTACTCTTCTGTTTTTAGTAGCTTTAATGAACATATGCTCCCAGTTTTCTATGGATAGTAGGCATCGCTCTGACTCTGTTTCTTTCACTCATATATTAAAAACATACAATCTGCTAAAAAGAAATTCTTGCTGTATTTTGAAGAGGTTCAAGATATGTAGTTCTGAGCCAAGTATCCCACTCTCCTGATGTAGTTTATTGATTGCAGAGCATATTTCAGTTTCTCTAAGGAAACAAAGATGGCCTTCGCTTATGGGATATAAGATGTCCTATGCATACAACTATTGACTGATAAATAATAAGTTTGTGTTGTCAAAGGCTTTCATGGCAGGAATCACTGGTTTGCTGTGAGTTTCCTGGGCCATATGACCATGTTCTGGAAGCATTCTCTCCTGACATTTCGCCAACATCCTTAGAGGTTGTGAGGTCTTACCTCTGAGGATGCCAGACCTCACAACCTGAGGATGCCTGCCAAAGATGTGGGAAAAATATCAGGAGAGAATGCTTCTGGAATATGGCCATACAGCCCGGAGAACTCACAACAACCCAATAATAGCTTTGTTGAGATTTTTCTTACGTAAAATATGTAAAGCTCAATGGATTCAACTTTAGAAACAGACATGTTGTGCTTCTTTGCTTAGTCTCAAAAGGCCATGTAGCTGGCTCTGTACCTGGATATCTGAAAATATCTCCATCTCTCAACATTTAAAATGTAGAATTTACTAGATGAAGGCACTTAGAACTATATAAAGAAATGTCATTCCTTTTCTTAGAATCTTTTGAACTGTAATCAGTGTGACTTTCTCTAATGCTGATTTAACCTCAAAATAATTCCATTATAAGATTAAACTGACAAATATGATAGTTCTCTAATAAAACTATGTAAGCATTAGAGTAATTGTTGATATATTTATATGGATGGTTTCAGCTGTATGTTATTATGTCCAAAGTAAGATTTTCATAAATTGGGTTAAAAATCAACGCAATATAACTTTCAGGTGTGTTGAGGAGTTAACCATTTCAGCAAAACCTACATGTAAACAAAAACTGAAGGTTTTGTGTCCACTTATTAGTATTTAAGCTGCTGTAAAGGATTTTGCCAATTGTACTGTGTGATTTTTAATTTCATGCCAGATCAAAACTATGTATGAACACAGCAACAAAATGCCAGTTTTCTTACAGAAATTTAAGTCATTGGAGGGATGGGCACAATGCAGTTTAGAATATACAAAGTAAAAAAAATCCCCAAAAATGTTGCACTGAAATGTTCCCAAACAATCTCTGAGAGTATACATAAAATTTAATCCGCAACAAAGCAATTCTGTGGTAAGAACAAATTAGTTCCAAAGTGAGCCTCCCCACAGTTGATGGCTTCTCGCCCATTTCGAGCTTAATATAATGCATCAAAAAGGGGCAAGCTTTTGGATTAAACTGGGACTAAAAGTCTCAAGTGAAAGGAGACTTTTTGTTCTAATTCATTTCCTGCCCAGGTTTGCTGTATCATGCCAGGACATCTACTATCATCTAAACGCAGACATTTATTTCCATTAGAACAGGGTAAATCTACATGTCTCTTAAAACAATACAGCACACTTTTAAAACAATACAGCACACTTACTTATACAGATTCTCCAGTGGTGTAGTTAAAATGACAGCAGCTGCAAGTAAATTATTGCAATGACTGTGTATTTTAGAAATATGAGGATTTCTGTCTTTATGTGGACTCAGAAGTTCTTGCACTGAGCCACAAACTGACCACAACATCTTTTCACAGGTCATCAAAATTGCTGTAACATCTATTCTGTAAGAAACAAAGCAAGACCCCAAAAGTAAAGTAATAAATACTTATCATTTGCTACAATTCAGAAATAATTTCAACACTGGGGAAAAAAAACACATTCTTTGTATTACTTAAAGTGACCAGAATTCTTTGGCATAATGGAAAAAAGAACTATAATAATATTTTTTAAATGATATGGCGGCATCCCTGATTTTATGGGATGAAGATAATATGCATATGAATTGTACTGTACACATGAGTAATTTCTCTCTATAGAAACAAATAGGTAAGCAATTCAATTGTGGAAATTTCCCATTTCTTTGGGCTATACATGTTGAATTTCAAATAAGCTGATATAAAGATATAAAATATTCCAGTAGCATCTTTAATATTAACTAGTGGGGAAAATTCAAGCATAAGCTCTTGTGAAGTACAATCTACTTGACTAGATGAAGTAGACTGTAATCTACGAAAGTTTACACTAGAAATGACTTTTTCCCAATAAGTCCCAAAGGTGCTACTGAAGTCCTTTAATGTGTTTCATACACTTGTTTACCAATAGCAGAAGACACTTTTATTAAGTCAGACTTCTCTAGCTCAATAATGCTGACACCGAGTGGTTTCACTTAGGCTTCTTTCCTAACTCTGAATGGATATACCAAAGATTCATTTTACACACAAAAACCCACTTACTTCAATGACAAAGGACCAGTTTTGATTTTAACAGAACAGGACTGCTATCAAAACAATGTACATTTATTTATCCATCAAGTTTTTTGTTGTTGAAAAAAATGAGTAATTTGAACTCAATAAAGCAGAGAACCTGTATAAAACATTATCACACTTGGAGATTAACTATAGTGGAATAACAGCTACGGAATATGTGCAATGATTGTTCGAACAGCCCTGGATTACCATTGTGGATGACGTGATTTTAATAGTGAATGCAATGTTTTATATGTTTTAATGTGCATTAATTTTAATTTTAAATTTTAACCGAAATGTATTTTAACTGTATGTTGTCCAAAGGCATTGAATAGTCACCTACATGTAAAGTCACCTTGAATCCCCTTCGGGGTAAAGAAAGTCGAGATATAAATAGGGTAAATAAATAAATATCAGAATTAATATTAGAAAGCAACTCTACTCCAATACAGAACAATAATTCAATCTATCATAGTATGAAAGGAGTGCTACCATTTCTCAAAGACATAATTCTTACAGTGAATAACATTTTTTCAGGAACTTATCTCTGAACAGAAAATTCTGCTTCTGTAGCATAATGCAGTCCTATGTGAATGTACCACATCTGAGCAACATCTACTTCTCTGCTATGATTTGAACAAATTGGAATTTAATTTTCTCTTCCATGCCAACCACAATTTATGGTCATGTTTAAACTTGGGCAAGCTATAATTTCATATAATCATGGCTTGTTGAAACAAACCAGATTCAAACCATAATTTAAAAGCCTATTTCATTACAATAAGCTATAGTTAAGATTAACAGTAGTTTACTATTGTTCAGATGATTCACTAAACTGTAACTGATCTTTTTGAAAAACGCATACACTTCCAGTTTCTTCTTTCTGGATATATAAAACAGGGAGGAAGAGCACAAGACTCTAATATCCTGTATTTTCAGCAAAAGTTAACCCATGGCAGAAAAGGCTTAAAAGTTAATTAGTTACTGTTCTTTAGAAAACATTTTCAAAATATTTATTTTTCCCCAGCAGCAGTTGACTGGATAATTTCTGTTGCTATTTTTAAACTGATTGTCCTCTTAATCTACATTTTAATATGCTAACTTGTATTGTTTAAAATATTCCATTTCTTTATTATCCGATTATTTTTATTGAAATTGTTTTGAATGTTCAATGAATAGAAGAATGAGAATAACAGTCACTTCATTCATACTACAAAATAACAAGCAATAATCACCTTATCTGTGGTGTTCTCTTATAACTGGGTTGAGCTTGAAAATATCTGCAGGCCAAGAGTGCCAAAGATTTTTCCAGCACTTCTTTTAGAATCTCCTGGGCCAACGCAGGGGGTAGAACAGTCCATAGATCATGATGAAGAGCACAGCAGAAATAATGCCACATCTGGACAGAGAATGAGCATCGTTCCCCCTGGCAAAACCACCAAATGTTAAACAACAGAAACACATCTTACTGAATGTCAACTTAGATTCAATGAATCTAATCTACTTAGGCTCAGAGGAAATGGTTGAAGAGCAAGGAATGTGGAATTACCAGAACAAAATTCTCACAAGATTTAAAACACATTTTTGCTTAAAAGGACATAACATATTTGAAAATGAGTGTTCTTGCAATAAGCCAAACCACTGACATATATTTGTATTTTCCATACCTAGCTTTTCAGAAAATGTCATGTGCTGTTGTTACTCATTTGCTAAAATATGTACAAATGCTCACAATCTCTGTCATATCAAAACCAAATTTCACTGAAAAGGGTATCAGTAACGGTCATCCTTCCATTTAAACTCTTATTTACTATGGCAACTGACTTTCTATATAGTTGTAGTTGCTGCTAAAGTTAATGATTTCTAAATGAAAGATTAAAATTCATACTAGTTTGGGTTATGGGTTATCTGGCGCAAGTTATGAACCACTGAGTTATGGGTTATCTAATGATACTTGGAATCCAGTTTGGTCCTGGTTTGAAAGAAGGATATGAATGGAATTAATACGATAATGACAATAAATCAGCAGGGTGTTAACAGTGGTAAATAGCATCCTTTGCTGGTACACTAAGTAAAATGTTTGGAGAAACCTTGTCTCAGGCGAAAGGGTAATACAAGATAAAGATAGCTTCTTATATCTACATACCAAGTTAAAGAGGTACACAGAGTTCTACACACACCCCAATGAACTAAAAAAATGACTTTCTTAATAAAATGTGCATCATTGCACTATTACAGAGTTAATTTATACCCTTTTTACCTTCACCTTCCAGTTATAACATGGTTATAAACCTACAGCTGCACATTCAGCAGAAGAATTAGTAATGCACTCATGGTAACTTGCTAAATATATGTAAATAGCATTCATTGTTAGCCTTCTAAGACCATGTAGATCTCTCATTATTATATTTTAATAACAGAAACAAAATAGAATAAATCTAAGTGACAATTTAATATCATCACATTTTTACACAAACATAGCTGAAGACCAGACATCATTATAATTTCCTGTCTAATATGTAATGTGCTATGAAGATCTATTATTATAGATCATTACAATGAAGTGTAACTACAAAAATAACCTTACCAGTAGAGAGCACTGCATATAATCTTTCCAAGATTAGCATCACATCAAAAGATTATATATGGGCATTTTATTAATGTTTTATAATATACTGTAGTGTGCATTTGTATTTTATGATGTGTAAATTAAAACCATCATTATACATTTGCTGTAATAGCAATGAAATGCAGGTATTAAAAGTAAATTAGATAGATCTATTGATCGATCCTACAGACACTAAAAAATAAACATTTTGTTTTAAATGGCCTCCAAATATTTCAAAAAATATTGAATGATTTGAATGAAAAAATAAACTCCTTCATCCTCATGAGTTCCTACAAACATTAAACAGATAGAGAATACATTTGTAGTTTTAAAAAACTTCATACACACACACACAACTCCTTTAAACAATGAGTGTGTGTGCGTGCCTGTGCATGTGCATGTGTGTGTGTGTTGTTGTTGCTGTTGTTGTTATCATGGCATTTTCTTGGCAAGATGTATTTAGAGAGGTTGCCTTTCCTTCCTTTGAGGCTGAGAGGGGGTGCCTTCTCCAGAGTCACTCAGTGATTTCTCATGGCTGATTCAAACCTGGCATCCCGAGTCATAGTCCAGCACTCAAACACTATGCCAAGCAGGCTCTCTATAATTCCTAGAAACACTAAAATGATCAAATCATTCAGTATTTTGAAGGATTCTAGAACTTTGTAAAACAATTTTTTTAAAAAATGTGTACACGTATTTTCTATGAAGCACATATTCTACATTTACTTTATTGTATTCTCAGCATTACAGTTTATTTTTATGTAGTTTTGTACTTGTTGGTAATTATCTCAAGCTTTTTATTAAAATTCTTTATATTATTTCATCTGAAAGAGTAAACCTGGATATTTCCCCCTATTTGCCATTTGTTGCTATTGCAAAATATTTAAATGGGGAAACATCTGCTATTTTTAAAAGCTTCATACAATAAAACAGATGTGTACTTTTAATTTAAAATGTATGTCAGGAATAGGCAGCTGGGCAGTACTGTATAAGCCACTCAGTATTCTTTACAAGTAGACATTATTTTTGAAAATTAGAAAATGTAAGTTTTGAAAATTACTGCAGATGTTTGTTAAAATAAAAGCTTGGTTCCAAAGTATTGTTTGGAGTGCCAGTTTGGTGGCAAAGCAAGTATTCCATCCATTCAATTGGTAAAATAGTATTTCGGTGATATTGTTACACCAAACTACAATCTTATACAATAACTTTGTTTTGGAGTACAGGTTCTTATTACCTGTCCTAATCAGGGTATTAACCAGGATTCAATCACTCAGAAATTGAAACCAGTGTTTCGGGTAAGTTTCAAATAATCACATTTTATATAAATACTGCGAAGCCGTGACTCCCACCGCTTGTTACTAAAAATTTAAAACCGTTCACTTGCTGCCACCAAAAT